ACTAAACTGGGACTAAAACCAGACTAAACCGGGACTGAACCAGGACTAAAACAAGACTGAACCAGGACTAAACTGGGACTAAAACCGGACTAAACCGGGACTGAACCAGGACTCTCTCTCTCTCAAGTCCAAGATTAGTCCTGGTTTAGACCTGGTTTATTGTTGGTTTTGTACAGGCACAGATCTGTTTTAGACCTGGACTACAGTTCCAGTTTAGTCCCAATTAAGTCCTGATTTAGTCCTGTCTATATGTCCTGGTTTTTGTCCTGGTTAAGTTGTGGTTTAAGCCTGGATCAGTTTTGGTTCAGTCCTGGTTTAGTCCTGTTTTAGTCCTGGTTTATTCATTGTTTAGTACTGGTTTAGACCTGTTTTAATCCTGGCTTAGTCCTGGTTTAATCCTGTTTTAGACCAGGCTTAGACCTGGTTTAGTCCTGTTTTAGACCTGGTTTAGACCTGGTTTAGTCCTGTTTTAGTTCTGACCCGCCCGTGTGTAATCACTACCAAAATTCCACAAAATTCCAGAATGTTAAGATCCGCCTGTTTCAGTAACTATTTAATGCCGTCCTGCACTGGGTACCTGACGGGTATTAAATATATCTGTAGATATAAAAAGATGCATTCTTGTTGACTTGTGAGTTGACATCAGCTGCTTGTCTCTCAGGAGCTCCGGGTCGTGGCTTTACTGCAGCAGCAGAGGGAACCGAGGCTGAGTTCAGATAAACCGGGTTTTATTTTAAACTTGAGTCTAAAGGCAGCGGCTGGAGAACAGGGACAAGTACAGCGGACGGAGAGAGGAATTAGTGAGGAAGTAGAGACGGAAGGGTGTCAGTGCTCCTGTGTGTGGGTCTTGGGGTGGGGGGTCTCAGGGTGGGGGTCTCGGGGTGGGGGTCTCGGGGTGAGGGGTCTCGGGTGGGGGCAGAGGGGTGGGGGCAGAGGGTGGGTCCTGTATAAATAAGCTTCTCTGAGCACACAGGGCAGATACTAAGATCGAGCAGCAGGTAACAGGACTAAACCAGGACTTAACTGAAACTTAACCAGGACTGATCCAGGACGACACCACTACTTAACCAGGACTAACCTGGAACAAAAACCAGGACATAATTAGGACTAAACTGGAACTGTAGCCCAGGTCTAAACTAGATCTATGCCTGAACAAAACGAAGAAAAAAACAGGACTAAACCAGGACTAAACCAGGACTGAACAAGGGCTAAACCACAACTTAACCAGAACTAAACCAGGACAAAAACCAGGATATATAACCAGGACTAAATTGGGACTAAATTGGTACTGTAGACCAGGTCTAAACCAGATCTATGCCTGAACAAAATCAAGAATAAACCAGGACTAAACCAGGACTGAATCAGGACTAAACCAGGACAAAAGCAGGACTAAACCAGATCTTGGCCGGGACTAAACCAGGTCAAAACCTGGATTAAACGAGGACCAAACCACAT